AGTATCCCTAAACATATCCCTAGCCGGCATCGAAGACATATGAAAAATCAGGCCCCAGGAAATGCCTTGCGAGCCCAATTTGCCCATCCAAAAGTGCCCCCAAAGGAAGGCTTTGGGTACAAGTGAACTCCCCAGGGGAGCCTTTACGCAGCCCCACATGCAACTGGACCCTCCGGGTTCGCTGTTCCTGAGCAAACCTAAACGTAGCCCTAGCCGTCATCGGAGACGAGTGAAAAATCAGGCCCCAGGAAATGCGTTGCGAGCCCCTTTGGACCATCCAAAAGTACCCCCAAAAGAAGGCTTTGGGTACAAGTGAACTCCCTAGGGCAGCTTTTAGGCAGCCCCACATGCAACTGGACCCTCCGGGTTCGAATTTTCCGAGTAACCCTAAATATATCCCTAGCCGGCATAGGAGAAGACTGAAAAACCGGGCCCCAGAAAACGCGTTTCAAGCCCCTTTGGACCATCCAAAAGTGCCCCCAAAGGAAGGCTTTGGGTACAAGTGAACTCCCCAGGGGAGCCTTTATGCAGCCCCACATGCAACTGGACCCTCCGGGATCGCTGTTCCTGAGCAAATCTAAACGTAGCCCTAGGTGTCATAGGAGACGAGTGAAAAATCAGGCCCCAGGAAATGCGTTGCGAGCCCCTTTGGACCATCCAAAAGTGCCCCCAAAGGAAGGCTTTGGGTACAAGAGAACTCCCCAGGGGAGCCTTTACGCAGCCCCACATGCAACTGGACCCTCCGGGTTCGCTGTTCCTGAGCAAATCTAAACGTAGCCCTAGGTGTCATAGGAGACGAGTGAAAAATCGGGCCCCAGGAAATGCGTTCCAAGCCCCTTTGGACCATCCAAAAGTGCCCCCAAAGGAAGGCTTTGGGTACAAGTGAACTCCCCAGGGGAGCCTTTACGCAGCCCCACATGCAACTGGACCCTCCGGGTTCGCTGTTTCCGAGCATCCCTAAACATACCCCTAGCCGTCATCGAAGACGACTGAAAAATCAGGCCCCAGGAAATGCGTTCCAAGCCCGTTTTGCCCATCCAAAAGTGCCCCCAAAGGAAGGCTTTGGGTACAAGTGAACTCCCCAGGGGAGCCTTTACGCAGCCCCACATGCAACTGGACCCTCCAGGTTCGCTTTTTCTGAGCAACCCTATATATATCCCTAGACGACATGGGAGAAGGCTGAAAAACCGGGCCCCAGAAAACGCATTGCAAGCCCCTTTGGACCATGCAAAAGTGCCCCCAAAGGAAGGCTTTGGGTACAAGTGAACTCCCCAGGGGAGCCTTTACGCAGCCCCACATGCAACTGGACCCTCCGTGTTCGAATTTTCCGAGTAACCCTAAATATATCCCTAGCCGGCATGGGAGTAGACTGAAAAACCGGGCCCTAGAAATGCGTTGCAAGCCCCTTTGGACCATCCAAAAGTGCCCCCAAAGGAAGGCTTTGGGTACAAGAGAACTCCCCAGGGGAGCCTTTACGCAGCCCCACATGCAACTGGACCCTCCGGGTTCGCTATTTTGAGCAAACCTAAACGTAGCCCTAGCCGTCATTGGAGACGACTGAAAAATCAGGCCCCAGGAAATGCGTTCCAAGCCCGTTTTGCCCATCCAAAAGTGCCCCGAAAGGAAGGCTTTGGGTACAAGTGAACTCCCCAGGGGAGCCTTTACGCAGCCCCACATGCAACTGGACCCTCCTGGTTCGCTGTTTCCGAGTATCCCTAAACATAGCCCTAGCCGGCATCGGAGACGAGTGAAAAATCAGGCCCCAGGAAATGCGTTGCGAGCCCTTTTCGCCTATCCAAAAGTGCCCCCAAAGGAAGGCTTTGGGTACAAGAGAACTCCCTAGGGGAGCCTTTACGCAGCCCCACATGCAACTGGACCCTCCGGGTTCGAATTTTCCGAGTAACCCTAAATATATCCCTAGCCGGCATGGGAGAAGACTGAAAAACCGGGCCCCAGAAAACGCATTGCAAGCCCCTTTGGACCATGCAAAAGTGCCCCCAAAGGAAGGCTTTGGGTACAAGTGAACTCCCCAGGGGAGCCTTTACGCAGCCCCACATGCAACTGGACCCTCCGGGTTCGCTTTTCCTGAGCAATCCTAAACGTAGCCCTAGCCGTCATCGGAGACGAGTGAAATATCAGGCCCCAGGAAATGCGTTGCGAGCCCCTTTGGACCATCCAAAAGTGCCCCCAAAGGAAGGCTTTGGGTACAAGAGAACTCCCCAGGGGAGCCTTTACGCAGCCCCACATGCAACTGGACTCTCCGGGTTCGAATTTTCCGAGTAACCCTAAATATATCCCTTGCCGGCATGGGAGAAGACTGAAAAACCGGGCCCCAGAAAACGCGTTTCAAGCCCCTTTGGACCATGCAAAAGTGCCCCCAAAGGAAGGCTTTGGGTACAAGTGAACTCCCCAGGGGAGCCTTTACGCAGCCCCACATGCAACTGGACCCTCCGTGTTCGCTGTTTCCGAGTATCCCTAAACATATCCCTAGCCGGCATCGAAGACATATGAAAAATCAGGCCCCAGGAAATGCCTTGCGAGCCCAATTTGCCCATCCAAAAGTGCCCCCAAAGGAAGGCTTTGGGTACAAGAGAACTCCCCAGGGGAGCCTTTACGCAGCCCCACATGCAACTGGACCCTCCGGGTTCGCTGTTCCTGAGCAAACCTAAACGTAGCCCTAGCCGTCATCGGAGACGAGTGAAAAATCAGGCCCCAGGAAATGCGTTGCGAGCCCCTTTGGACCATCCAAAAGTACCCCCAAAAGAAGGCTTTGGGTACAAGTGAACTCCCCAGGGGAGCTTTTAGGCAGCCCCACATGCAACTGGACCCTCCGGGTTCGAATTTTCCGAGTAACCCTAAATATATCCCTAGCCGGCATAGGAGAAGACTGAAAAACCGGGCCCCAGAAAACGCGTTTCAAGCCCCTTTGGACCATGCAAAAGTGCCCCCAAAGGAAGGCTTTGGGTACAAGTGAACTCCCCAGGGGAGCCTTTATGCAGCCCCACATGCAACTGGACCCTCCGGGATCGCTGTTCCTGAGCAAATCTAAACGTAGCCCTAGGTGTCATAGGAGACGAGTGAAAAATCAGGCCCCAGGAAATGCGTTGCGAGCCCCTTTGGACCATCCAAAAGTGCCCCCAAAGGAAGGCTTTGGGTACAAGAGAACTCCCCAGGGGAGCCTTTACGCAGCCCCACATGCAACTGGACCCTCCGGGTTCGCTGTTTCCGAGCATCCCTAAACATACCCCTAGCCGTCATCGAAGACGACTGAAAAATCAGGCCCCAGGAAATGCGTTCCAAGCCCGTTTTGCCCATCCAAAGGTGCCCCCAAAGGAAGGCTTTGGGTACAAGTGAACTCCCCAGGGGAGCCTTTACGCAGCCCCACATGCAACTGGAACCTCTGGGTTCGCTTTTTCCGAGCATCACTAAACATTTCCCTAGCCGGTATCGAAGACGAGTGAAAAATCAGGCCCCAGGAAATGCGTTGCGAGCCCTTTTCGCCCATCCAAAAGTGCCCCCAAAGGAAGGCTTTGGGTACAAGAGAACTCCCCAGTGGAGCCTTTAAGCAGCCCCACATGCAACTGGACCCTCCGGGTTCGATTTTTCCTGAGCAAACCTAAACATAGCCCTAGCCGGCATCGGAGACGAGTGAAAAATCAGGCCCCAGGAAATGCGTTGCGAGCCCTTTTCGCCTATCCAAAAGTGCCCCCAAAGGAAGGCTTTGGGTACAAGAGAACTCCCTAGGGGAGCCTTTACGCAGCCCCACATGCAACTGGACCCTCCGGGTTCGAATTTTCCGAGTAACCCTAAATATATCCCTAGCCGGCATGGGAGAAGACTGAAAAACCGGGCCCCAGAAAACGCATTGCAAGCCCCTTTGGACCATGCAAAAGTGCCCCCAAAGGAAGGCTTTGGGTACAAGTGAACTCCCCAGGGGAGCCTTTACGCAGCCCCACATGCAACTGGACGCTCCGTGTTCGAATTTTCCGAGTAACCCTAAATATATCCCTAGCCGGCATGGGAGTAGACTGAAAAACCGGGCCCTAGAAATGCGTTGGAAGCCCCTTTGGACCATCCAAAAGTGCCCCCAAAGGAAGGCTTTGGGTACAAGAGAACTCCCCAGGGGAGCCTTTACGCAGCCCCACATGCAACTGGACCCTCCGGGTTCGCTGTTTTGAGCAAACCTAAACGTAGCCCTAGCCGTCATCGGAGACGAGTGAAAAATCAGGCCCCAGGAAATGCGTTCCAAGCCCCTATCGCCCATCCAAAAGTGCCCCCAAAGGAAGGCTTTGGGTACAAGTGAACTCCCCAGGGGAGCCTTTACGCAGCCCCACATGCAACTGGACCCTCCGGGTTCGCTGTTTCCGAACATCCCTAAACATAACACTAGCCGGCATCGGAGACGAGTGAAAAATCAGACCCCAGGAAATGCGTTGAGAGCCCTTTTCGCCTATCCAAAGTGCCCCCAAAGGAAGGCTTTGGGTACAAGTGAACTCCCCAGGGGAGCCTTTACGCAGCCCCACATGCAACTGGACCCTCCGGGTTCGCTTTTTCTGAGCAACCCTAAATATATCCCTAGCCGACATGGGAGAACGCTGAAAAACCGGGCCCCAGAAAACGCATTGCAAGCCCCTATGTGTTGCCGACGGAAGGAAGACCCAGCACATCAATATGAGTGAACAGTGAACTTCAACTTTAATGGATAGCTCAGTCGTCTTTTATCTAGTTTGAACATAATCAACTCATACATATTGCAGAAACTAAGCTCAGGATTGGTTAACACTTCCCGGGCTTTTCAGTCTGGTCCTCCTTCTTTTGGCTACTTGTCCCACCTTAGGGACTTTCCCGATGGCCCAAGGGCATCGTGTCCTTGAGCCTGATTGGCTCTCAGCCAGCGGTGTACGTGCCAAGGCTCATGTGAGTTGAGTACGGTGCTTCACCAGCCCATTGTCTCCCAACTGCTCAACATTCACATGTCCCGCCTCACTTAACGATTCCTCCACAATTCCCCCGTTTTTATTTTGCAGCAACTATAATCAATATAACTATAAGTAGAAAACGAAGTTCCTCTTTGACGAAGAAAAAACCATCCACCCATGTTCCCAAAAACAGATTTAAACCAACCTTCAAACCAACTATCTTGTACTACAATTTTTTGCGTATGATCCCTTAACCATTTCAAACATAATCAACTCATCAACAAAGGATCAGACGCAGCCAGCCGTCATTGTCAAAGATAATGCAACCAAAATCCCTTGTGCCGTTAGATCAGCCATGGTTGCTGTTATTCGTACTTGATGACTTTTCTTCAATGGCTGGTTTAACACACCGACTAGGCACCCAGGTTGGCCCTGTAGGGGAAGAGATACACACATAACCTCGCCCCATATAATTCACATCAGCAGGCCGCAGCCATTGTCCCGTTTTCATATCTCGGTACAGTACTCTCATAATACATTTATTATCATTTTCAGACTTAATGTAATGACGTGTCGCGGGTGGTTCATCATCATCACCAAATACACACAAATGATTGAGAACAAATAAGGTTTTATCCACCCTCTCTCTAATATCTGTAATGTCTTTATCTTGGGCTTGTAAAATTTGATGTTTCCAACCATACTCATCCTTCCAAGTCACTGCAGCAGTTCGAGAACGTTTTCCTGCGTCAGTGAAAACTGTCACTGCATTCTTAAGTGGGATAGAGGATCGTTTTGGCTTAGTTATCCATCCCTGGTTTTCCATCCATGTCAGAGCTGTTGATTGTAATGTTTTTGCTACTACAGTAGCGCCATCCTGTAGTAGTGCAGCTTGTAACTCTTCAGAGTTTTGTATATACCATTCCAAATCGCCTGGCTTCATGGGTAACCAGATAATATTTGGAGGAACCCCATCCACTTGCAATATTCGATTCCTCCCCTTCTTTACTAATTTTGCTAATGTTGCAATTTTTTTCTTGAATTTTTCGTCGAGGTTGTAACGGAGGAGCTATCCATTCTAATACCACAGTTTCTCCTCCCTTCTCCCCTGTTTTTATTTTTTGCTGTGTTATGGCACCCATCAGGCATTTTGAGCCACATAGAATGGTAAGATCGAGTGGCTTGTCAGATATACATCGATGCGTGACACTCGTTGTGATCAAAGATGCGATTTGTTGTAGTATTTCTTGTTGTTTTTCTGATAGTGTCACTTTTGAAGCAGGATCAGTTCCTTTTAATAACGGCCGAAGGGGATTTAACAGTTCATTCGGAATCCCGACTACTGGCCTGATCCATTGTAAATCTCCCAGCAGTTTTTGAGCATCATTAAGAGTTTTGATATCTGATTGGATTGTAAGTTTTTGAAGCTGAATGGTGGAATCTGTAATTTTCCAACCCAAAAACTTCCAGGGACTTGTCTCCTGAACCTTTTCCGGTGCAAGTATGAGTCCCATTTGTTTTAAGGTCAGTGTTAAGTCATTTTTCTGTTGTAGACTTTATTCGAATGTAGGCCAATGTGGTGGCCAACTTTGCGCACTGATTATTGTCACATCTGCGCCAGTGTCCAACAATGCCTCAGTTTGCAGTTTCTCATCCTTTAAACATACTGTGATTTTTTGTCGTGGTCTCTGCTGCATGCCAAGCGTTAATAACGCTATTTTTCCTGTGGAGCCAAATGCTCCAAGTCCTCGGTCCTTATTGACCATCAGTGGTAGAGATGCCGCAAGGTGTGGCAACGGAATTAATTGAGCTATCTTTGTATTCCGTGGCACATGCATTGGAGGAAACATTGCAGAAACTATAATCTGTATTTCCCCACAATAGTCTTTATCTGTAAGTCCAACCAATATTTGTAATCCATTCAAGGTAGCAGACGATCTTCCGATCAATAAAGCTCCTACAGGATCACCATTGACAGTAACTGGTCCCATAACTCCTGTTCCTACCCTGGTGGGTTTAGAGTCCAATAACGTTACATCTACTGCTGTTGCCAAATCCAAGCCGAGACTCCCTCTGGTGACTGGTCGGAGGTAAACGGTGTCGTTCCGGCCGCTGTGGTAAATGCCGCTTTTTGTGTCGTCGTGGGGCGGTCCTTCCCGCTGCTCTGGCCGTTTCCCGACGCACCATACCGACAGATGACACCACACTGATCTCGTTTTGCACTCTTGTTTCCTATGTCCGGTGATCCCACAGCGAAAACAACGCGGTGGCAGTGAAGTCCCTCGGCCAGTAGGACGGCCTCTGGGCGTTTGCAAAGGAGCAAGGGCAGCGAATACTTGATTCTGCGATTTCTGTGCAGTCTCTCTGAATACCTGTGCCTGTTCTTTCATGCTATTCCCTAGTTGTTTTATTACATCTACCAGCATAGCCTGCGGACCCACGGGTACCTGAGCCATCCTTTCTAAACCCTCCTCAATTGTCCAAGTTCCCGGTAACGTAGCTAATATAATACGAGTTGAAGGGTTGCAGTTTTGAATTGCACACTGCTTTAGAATAGTGCCCTTTAGATAATCAGGTACCCCAGCCGTTTGTATTGCGTTTGCTACTCGATCAATAAACAACCCAAATGGTTCCTCCCTTCCTTGCCTGATGCCCATATAGGATGGTATCCCCCCTGGCTCTCTAATTTGGTCCAAGGCTCTTCGAGCCAATCTCATTGATTCTTTAGCTTTGTCTGGACCCAGCAATGCTTGTGTCTCTAATCTATAATATGGTCCGAGTCCCATCAATTCCTCCAACGTGACACCATACAATGGATCTCCAGGTGCCCTTATTACAGCTACTGCCTCTTGACAAACACTTTGCCAATGCGCATTAAAAAGAAGCTGTTGATGTTGTGTTAGGATCAGCTTCATTATACCACGTATGTCCCCGGGGAGCAATATATTAGTTCCCCAAATATAATCTAACATTTGCCGAGTAGGTTCCCCCTTTAAACCAGAATCATTTACGGTAGATCGCAATTGAGTTAATAATTTCCAGTCTAAATTTGTCATATTAACGGTCACATTCCCCTGTGCATCTGGTGGCGAGTATACTACCGGAAAAGCTTGTGTTAACTGTGCTGCCGTTTCATAATTCCCTTCACGCAGTGCTTCATTTGCTATTTGCCTCCATAGACCTGCTCTTCCCTGCACCCCCGTTGTGAAGGGATTTATATTTGATGGAAATGAGTTAGCACTGGTCCTTTCACTTGCTCCTTTCTCACTTTCTATTGGAGCAGTTGGAGCTGTTGGTAGTGAGAGCTCCTCCTCCGCTACAGAGGACATTGTCACAGGCATCCCCGAAATTCCCAAGACCCCCTGTGTAATAGTAAAAGTTCTAACGGAAGGTGGCAACGGGCAATCTGTTCCTTCCATATTTATTTGCTGTGGATTAACATTATTAACCCTTCTTGGTGGTCCTGACCACTCTGTTGCAGCAGCGGCAACTGTTTGTTCATCTTTATGTGTGGCTAATGCATTAGCCACTATTCTCCATGGCCTCATCAAATCTCCCAGTAAACTTAACATCGTTCCTAACATCATCAAACAATTTATTTCCAAATTTACGTCACTCTGTTTGTTCAAAAACTGTATCAGGACTTGTAAAACAACCCTTAGCTATCCCATATACTAATAACCCTGGCAAATCTTTTTCTACAATCTATATCTAAAATGCTCCGCTTTTCTAAAAAGCATTTGAGCAAATAATACGCCGCTTATCTTTTCATACCTTTATATACGTCGATTGCAGCCTTTGCAAAGACCTCGGCGGCGCTTTTCCGGCGGGACCCTAAATAGGCTCATCCCGGGTGCGGGGACCTCCACGTCCTTTTCACCTTCCCGGCGCGGGTGCGGGGATTCTTGTCCCTTCCACCTCCTGGGCTGCGTTGCAGGACCGGCTTCTCCTTTATTCCGTCCAACCGTGGCCCTGGATCACTGCCAGCAGTGTCCAAATCCTGTTCAGACTTGTCCCTGTTCGGGCGCCAATTTGTTGCCGACGGAAGGAAGACCCAGCACATCAATATGAGTGAACAGTGAACTTCAACTTTAATGGATAGCTCAGTCGTCTTTTATCTAGTTTGAACATAATCAACTCATACATATTGCAGAAACTAAGCTCAGGATTGGTTAACACTTCCCGGGCTTTTCAGTCTGGTCCTCCTTCTTTTGGCTACTTGTCCCACCTTAGGGACTTTCCCGATGGCCCAAGGGCATCGTGTCCTTGAGCCTGATTGGCTCTCAGCCAGCGGTGTACGTGCCAAGGCTCATGTGAGTTGAGTACGGTGCTTCACCAGCCCATTGTCTCCCAACTGCTCAACATTCACATGTCCCGCCTCACTTAACGATTCCTCCACACTATGGACCATCCAAAAGTGCCCCCAAAGGAAGGCTTTGGGTACAAGTGAACTCCCGAGGGGAGCCTTTACGCAGCCCCACATGCAAGTGGACCCTCTGGGTTCGTTGTTTCCGAGTATCCCTAAACATATCCCTAGCCGGCATTGAAGACGAGTAAAAAATCAGGCCCCAGTAAATGCGTTGCGAGCCCCTTTGGACCATCCAAAAGTGCCCCCAAAGGAAGGCTTTGGGTACAAGTGAACTCCCCAGGGGAGCCTTTACGCAGCCCCACATGCAACTGGACCCTCCGGGTTCGCTGTTTCCGAGCATCCCTAAACATACCCCTAGCCGGCATCAAATACGACTGAAAAATCAGGCCCCAGGAAATGCGTTCCAAGCCCGTTTTGCCCATCCAAAAGTGCCCCCAAAGGAAGGCTTTGGGTACAAGTGAACTCCCCAGGAGAGCCTTTACGCAGCCCCACATGCAACTGGACCCTCCGGGTTCGATTTTTCCGAGCATCCCTAAACATATCCCTAGCCGGCATGGGAGAAGACTGAAAAACCGGGCCCCAGAAAACGCGTTGCAAGCCCCTTTGGACCATCCAAAAGTGCCCCCAAAGGAAGGCTTTGGGTACAAGTGAACTCCCCAGGGGAGCCTTTACGCAGCCCCACATGCAACTGGACCCTCCGGGTTCGCTTTTCCTGAGCAATCATAAACGTAGCCCTAGCCGTCATCGGAGACGAGTGAAAAATCAGGCCCCAGGAAATGCGTTGCGAGCCCCTTTGGACCATCCAAAAGTGACCCCAAAGGAAGGCGTTGGGTACAAGTGAACTCCCCAGGGGAGCCTTTACGCAGCCCCACATGCAACTGGACACTTCTGGTTCTTATTTTCCGAGTAACCCTAAATATATCCCTAGCCGGCATCGAAGACGACTGAAAAATCAGGCCCCAGGAAATGCGTTGCGAGCCCTTTTCGCCCATCCAAAAGTGCCCCCAAAGGAAGGCTTTGGGTACAAGAGAACTCCCCAGTGGAGCCTTTACGCAGCCCCACATGCACCTGGACCCTCCGGGTTCGCTGTTCCTGAGCAAACCTAAACGTAGCCCAAGCCGTCATCGGAGACGAGTGAAAAATCAGGCCCCAGGAAATGCGTTGCGAGCCCCTTTGTACCATCCAAAAGTGCCCCCAAAGGAAGGCTTTGGGTACAAGTGAACTCCCCAGGGGAGCCTTTACGCAGCCCCACATGCAACTGGACCCTCCGGGTTCGCTGTTCCTGAGCAAATCTAAACGTAGCCCTAGGTGTCATAGGAGACGAGTGAAAAATCGGGCCTCAGGAAATGCGTTCCAAGCCCCTTTGGACCATCCAAAAGTGCCCCTAAAGGAAGGCTTTGGGTACAAGTGAACTCCCCAGGGGAGCCTGTACGCAGCCCCACATGCAACTGGACCCTCCGGGTTCGCTGTTTCCGAGCATCCCTAAACATACCCCTAGCCGGCATCAAATACGACTGGAAAATCAGGCCCCAGGAAACGCGTTCCAAGCCCGTTTTGCCCATCCAAAAGTGCCCCCAAAGGAAGGCTTTGGGTACAAGTGAACTCCCCAGGGGAGCCTTTACGCAGCCCCACATGCAACTGGACCCTCTGGGTTCGATTTTTCCGAACATCCCTAAACATATCCCTAGCCGGCATGGGAGAAGACTGAAAAACCGGGCCCCAGATAACGCGTTGCAAGCCCCTTTGGACCATGCAAAAGTGCCCCCAAAGGAAGGCTTTGGGTACAAGTGAACTCCCCAGGGGAGCCTTTACGCAGCCCCACATGCAACTGGACCCTCCGGGTTCGCTTTTCCTGAGCAATCATAAACGTAGCCCTAGCCGTCATCGGAGACGAGTGAAAAATCAGGCCCCAGGAAATGCGTTGCGAGCCCCTTTGGACCATCCAAAAGTGCCCCCAAAGGAAGGCTTTGGGTAGAAGTGAACTCCCCAGGGGAGCCTTTACGCAGCCCCACATGCAACTGGACCCTCCGTGTTCGAATTTTCCGAGTAACCTTAAATATATCCCTAGCCGGCATGGGAGTAGACTGAAAAACCGGGCCCTAGAAAATGCGTTGGAAGCCCCTTTGGACCATCCAAAAGTGCCCCCAAAGGAAGGCTTTGGGTACAAGAGAACTCCCCAGGGGAGCCTTTACGCAGCCCCACATGCAACTGGACCCTCCGGGTTCGCTGTTTTGAGCAAACCTAAACGTAGCCCTAGCCGTCATCGGAGACGAGTGAAAAATCAGGCCCCAGGAAATGCGTTCCAAGCCCCTATCGCCCATCCAAAAGTGCCCCCAAAGGAAGGCTTTGGGTACAAGTGAACTCCCCAGGGGAGCCTTTACGCAGCCCCACATGCAACTGGACCCTCCGGGTTCGCTGTTTCCGAACATCCCTAAACATAACACTAGCCGGCATCGGAGACGAGTGAAAAATCAGGCCCCAGGAAATGCATTGAGAGCCCTTTTCGCCTATCCAAAAGTGCCCCCAAAGGAAGGCTTTGGGTAGAAGTGAACTCCCCAGGGGAGCCTTTACGCAGCCCCACATGCAACTGGACCCTCCAGGTTCGCTTTTCTGAGCAACCCTAAATATATCCATAGCCAACATGGGAGAACGCTGAAAAACCGGGCCCCAGAAAACGCATTGCAATCCCCTATGGACCATCCAAAAGTGCCCCCAAAGGAAGGCTTTGGGTACAAGTGAACTCCCGAGGGGAGCCTTTACGCAGCCCCACATGCAACTGGACCCTCTGGGTTCGTTGTTTCCGAGTATCCCTAAACATATCCCTAGCCGGCATCGAAGACGAGTGAAAAATCAGGCCCCAGGAAATGCGTTGCGAGCCCTTTTCGCCCATCCAAAAGTGCCCCCAAAGGAAGGCTTTGGGTACAAGTGAACTCCCCAGGGGAGCCTTTACGCAGCCCCACATGCAACTGGACCCTCTGGGTTTGCTTTTCCTGAGCAATCCTAAACGTAGCCCTAGCCGTCATCGGAGATGAGTGAAAAATCAGGCCCCAGTAAACGCGTTGCGAGCCCCTTTGGACCATCCAAAAGTGCCCCCAAAGGAAGGCTTTGGGTACAAGTGAACTCCCCAGGGGAGCCTTTACGCAGCCCCACATGCAACTGGACCCTCCAGGTTCGCTGTTTCCGAGCATCCCTAAACATACCCCTAGCCGGCATCGGAGACGACTGAAAAATCAGGCCCCAGGAAATGCGTTCCAAGCCCGTTTTGCCCATCCAAAAGTGCCCCCAAAGGAAGGCTTTGGGTACAAGTGAACTCCCCAGGAGAGCCTTTACGCAGCCCCACATGCAACTGGACCCTCCGGGTTCGATTTTTCCGAGCATCCCTAAACATATCCCTAGCCGGCATGGGAGAAGACTGAAAAACCGGGCCCCAGGAAATGCGTTCCAAGCCCCTTTGGACCATCCAAAAGTGCCCCCAAAGGAAGGCTTTGGGTACAAGTGAACTCCCCAGGGGAGCCTTTACGCAGCCCCACATGCAACTGGACCCTCCGGGTTCGCTTTTCCTGAGCAATCATAAACGTAGCCCTAGCCGTCATCGGAGACGAGTGAAAAATCAGGCCCCAGGAAATGCGTTGCGAGCCCCTTTGGACCATGCAAAAGTGCCCCCAAAGGAAGGCGTTGGGTACAAGTGAACTCCCCAGGGGAGCCTTTACGCAGCCCCACATGCAACTGGACACTTCTGGTTCTTATTTTCCGAGTAACCCTAAATATATCCCTAGCCGGCATGGGAGTAGACTGAAAAAACGGGCCCTAGAAAAAGCGTTACAAGCCCCTTTGGACCATCCAAAAGTGCCCCCAAAGGTAGGCTTTGGGTACAAGAGAACTCCCGAGGGGAGCCTTTACGCAGCCCCACATGCAACTGGACCCTCCGGGTTCGAATTTTCCGAGTAACCCTAAATATATCCCTAGCCGGCATGGGAGAAGACTGAAAAACCGGGCCCCAGAAAACGCGTTTCAAGCCCCTTTGGACCATCCAAAAGTGCCCCCCAAAGGAAGGCTTTGGGTACAAGTGAACTCCCCAGGGGAGCCTTTACGCAGCCCCACATGCAACTGGACCCTCCGGGTTCGCTGTTTCCGAACATCCCTAAACATAACACTAGCCGGCATCGGAGACGAGTGAAAAATCAGGCCCCAGGAAATGCGTTGCGAGCCCTTTTCGCCCATCCAAAAGTGCCCCCAAAGGAAGGCTTTGGGTACAATAGAACTCCCCAGGGGAGCCTTTACGCAGCCCCACATGCAACTGGACCCTCCAGGTTCGACTTTTCTGAGCAACCCTAAATATATCCATAGCCGACATGGGAGAAGGCTGAAAAACCGGGCCCCAGAAAACGCATTGCAAGCCCCTTTGGACCATGCAAAAGTGCCCCCAAAGGAAGGCTTTGGGTACAAGAGAACTCCCGAGGGGAGCCTTTACGCAGCCCCACATGCAACTGGACCCTCCGGGTTCGCTGTTTCCGAACATCCCTAAACATAGCCCTAGCCGACATCGAAGACGACTGAAAATCAGGCCCCAGGAAATGCGTTGCGAGCCCTTTTCGCCCATCCAAAAGTGTCCCCAAAGGAAGGCTTTGGGTACAAGAGAACTCCCCAGGGGAGCCTTTACGCAGCC